TTTCCTATTATATCCCTTAGCAACTTCTTGACACAATAATACATTATGGATCAGATCTCTTCCCTCCACAAAAGCTCGTTGATTATGATTGATTATGTCTGGTAGAACTTGCTTCAGTCTTGAGGAGATGAGTTTAGAAGTTGTCTTGTAGAACACATTACTACATGCTATAGGCCTGTAGTCCTTTGCCTCCTGGGGGTTCTCCACTTAAGGGATTAGTGTAATTTTAGTACTATTAATCTGTTTCAATGTTACCCCATTCTCAAAGAAGTTTAAAACAGTATCACAGACCAGATTTCCCACCATATTTCAATGGCTCTCGAAAAATCCACTATTATAACCATCTAGATCAGGGCTTTTTCCATTGGGGATAGAGAATATATACTTCTTCACATCTTCTCTATGAAATAGTGCTATTAGGGGAAACTGTTGTGCAATAGACAAAACCTTTCGCGAGGATAAAATATTCTTACTTATGTCCTCAGTAAAGATAGTATTGCCAAGTTGGGATTGGTAAAACTCCAGTAGGACTTTAGCCACTCCTTTATCTTTAACTGTCTCTCCCTTATTGTTTTTAATAGTGATGATCTGGTTCTGCAGATTCCTTTTCTTCATCCAAGAATTAAATAGTTTTGACCCCTGTCAGTAATCCATTCCATTTTGGACTGCTGGTTCTTCAATAGAATAGAGGCTCTAGTTTGAGGTGGTACTCCTGTACCAATTGTTTTTCTTTGCTAAGGAGGATTTTATCATCTATATTGTCCTTGAGACTTTTCTGAACTTCATTGAGTTCAGTTTTTAGGATGTCCACCTGTTTGTATATTTGGCTAAACTTCTCCCTATTCAATTTCTTCAACGGACTTTCCAAATCCTTGAGCTTCCTCATTAGCTATTACATAGGTCTACCTTCCTTTTTTCTCTCCCGTACTTCTTTAATCACTCCATAAGATCTAGGGTCTAATGTCCACATATCACAATATTTAAAATCATTACTCCTCTTTTGAAATTGTTCAATTGGGATGAGAAGGGGGCAGTGATCAGAGATTTCCTCTTCAAGGACTAAAGTTTTCATTCCATGGGTGATCATCCATTCGGTATTAGCTAAAACTCTGTCCAATTTGGAGTATATTCTACTGCCTTGACCCTGCTTGTTGGACCATGTGTAGTATGATCCACAAAAAGGTACTTCCTCCAGCCCACAGTCCACTATACAAGACGCAAAGTCTTTGGTCTCCTGTTGTGACCCTGCTACCTCCTATTCTATCATTCATGTGAAGGACTGAATTAAAATCCCCTAGTATGATCCAAGCTCCATTCACACATGTCGAATAACTCATCAATTTATTCCACATTTCTTTTCTACTGCCAGAATCATTCTGCCCATATACATAGGTAATGTGAAACTTCATTTTAGTTTCTCTGTCCATTACCTTACCATAAACAGTGTGACTAGAAGCCTCAACTATATCCACCTCATATTTCTGTTGTTTCCACATTACCCATATCCTACCATTAGGGTATTTATTATTGATGTAGGATCCCCAGCTCTGGCAGATCTTATTACTGACATCCTTGACACTACTCTCCTTTAATTTAGTTTCCATAAAGGCATAGACCCCATCAAACTAATGTTATATTTATTAAGGAAGTTCTTCACCTCCATTTGTTTAAGGGGACTATTGAGTCCCCTTATATTCCATCCTCCTATCATAACATGAAAGGGTAATGTCCCCTATAGGGGACTTCTATTAGATCCTTTCTTAGAAGTATCCCATGGTTTATGACATTATCATTATCTCCTTTCCTATTTGATCTTGCAGCCTTCTTATTTACTTCAATAAAGCCATCGGAGTGATAACCACCTTCATTCTGTGGGTTATTTGATTGGGTTTTTGGTCCTCCCTTTTCCCCATCATCCATATCTTTCTTGTCCTCCCATTGGTCTTGTTTCTCCTTCACCCCCTTAGGTCTCCATGTCATTTTCTTTCCACTCTGTCCTTTTTTCCTGCATGTATCCTCCTGATGTCCCATCCCTTTGAAATTAGTACAAATGGTAGGACATCATTCATACTTGACCAGCTGTGTCAGAAGTCTATTATTCTCATTAGCAAACTATGTTCAACTCATTCGACCTACGGGAGAGGTACAACCTACGGGAGAGGGACTCCCTTTGGTCGTACCTCTGTACATCTTTTTGTGCTACTCCTAGGGCGGGAAGAAGATAAGAAAACGCCGGGAATTTAGTCAGAACTGAGAGCCATTTCCCTTGATTGAAGGAGTCTGACGAAGTGTTGCCTTATCAGCTTTGATAGGTTTGCCTACCAGACTCCCTATTTTGTTTAGGGCAGACAAACTCCAATATTTCAGATCCAACCCTGGCAATTGAAGCCATATTGGCACATCATTAAGGTTGTTCAGGTCTACAAGACTTCCAGGTTTCCATTTTCCTCTGCACAACATTTCTTTCTGTTTCAGAACCAAATCTCACCACGTATTGTCCAGGTTTGAGAAAGCTAACCTCATCAATTTTATATTGTTTCCATATCCTAGCAAGATACCCCTCTATCACAGATAATGGGGGATTGGCTCCCAGGACACATACCACAGCAACATCATCCCAATAAGTATCAAATATAATATCATCATTTGTAAGCTTAGCAAATTTATTTCCATTCGATTCCTCTGCTTCAATATAAGTAAGTTTATCTTCATCATCTTCTGATTTACCTACCGCCTCTGCATAGGTCTTCATTTGTTTTTCTTCATCCAGATTCTTGTTACTATTCCGGTCCCCTCCCTTTGGTTCTGCAACATCTCTGGGGTCCTTTTTTTGATTCCTCATGATTGGTGATCATGGTCTTCGTCGTAGGTGTATTCCTCACCTCTTCCTTTGTCGCTGATGTAGATATTCCCGATCGATCTGTAGATCGTGGATTCCTCTTCGTATTGGACGACGATGGTGTATTAGATTTGGTCGCCATAGCTAGAGACAGAAAGAAATCTGTTGTTAAAGTAGAGAAGGGAAATAAGGAGAGATAAGGGGAGGGGGAATGTACATTCCCCGGGGAAGAAGGTTTTTATATAATTGGTACATTGAAAATTAGAACAAACTTATGTACTCACCAAAGCTATGGAATACTTTTTTTTTTTAATTTTAATCTCTCTTAAAGTAAATATGAATGGGTGAGAGAAGTCTTCATCCACATCAAACCCGATCCATCGTTAGCCCATCCATTATCCGTCCACATCTTTTGTTTTCAAGTTTTTATCCATTAAATCGAGTCGGGTGGTTCGATTATCTGTCGAGTCGGGTAGGAATCGTCATCCCTAGTTGTTGTTGCTGTGTTTATTTTTCCCAATATATGCCCTTATCCAGTAGTTCTAGGTTGTCTGCATCAACCTCAATAACAGAAGATGATGCTTCATCCATCCTTCATTTTGTATGGGCAGTTATGAAAAACTAAATTAAGAATATAAAATTATTTCTACTCAAGTTGTCCCACTATTAATTTCTAGTTTGACTATTGGAGTAAAAGCTTGTTAACTTTAACTATCAATTATTCAAAAACACATACTTTCTTTGTTTTGTTGTGGTCTTCCAGGTTTGACTTTCTAGTCAACCTGCAAATTTTTAACTAATATTTTACGTGACATATTTTACCAAAAGTCCAAAATTATAAATTTTATACTTTAATCAAAGTATTTTTTTAACAAAAAAACATCTATATGTTGCTTTCATATGATTTTTCATAAAAGTATGTGAGTTGTCAAAGTTTAGCAAGTTTGATTATAAAAATCACACCGGGAAAACTCCTACGTGACAAAGGGAGTATTGATTTGTAACTTGGAAATGTTATTGAACAATTCATTTTAAAAAATATTAATAAAATACTAACAAATAATTGTAAATAAGAGTGGTGAAAGATTGGCAATAAAGAGTGTAGAAGTCAAATTGTGAACTTGTAAATAATAAGGGACATGGGTAGTATCCTGGACCACCCTATGATGCCTTATAAATAGGACAAGAATGGATATTAAACCTACAAAAGTGAAATTGTAAAATGTTTAGATTAAAGAACTTGTTTCCAAAGCTAGTTTGGTTGAACTGTTGTAGCATAGTTTTTTTGGGGGTTTAATCCCTTATATGCTGTGTATCATGTTTGCTTCTTTGGGCTCTCCATTTGCTTTTTGAAACTTCAGAGTTTTGTTGTACTGTGGTTTAGGTTGAGTAAGTTTTTCTTTCTTTTCTGGTGTTTTGGAATAAGCCATATTTAATTTTAATGATTTGCATGTTCATTTCCCAATTTTAATCCTGTAATTGAGCATGATTATAACAACTGTCTCAACTTATTGCCGTCTTATGACATTTTTTCATACAAGTGGAATGACATATGATGATGACGCTTTCAAATTTAATCTTATTGTAAGTTTTGTAACTTCGTAAGAAAGTGAAGGGCCACTACATAGGGACAAAGGTGGTTAGTGTCAAGAAGTTCATTAGCTCCACTCAAAATTTTAACACAGAAATCAGGGTATATTAGTTACAGACCTACAATATTTCATTTTCTCACCTTAAAAATAAGTAGGTTAAAGAACCTTGTCCTTCAACACCCTCAGTCCAGTAAATGTAAAACATATGAACCATTTCATTCCATCCACATTTCGCTCTGACCCTTGGCACTTAGTCTTAGGTTACTGCAATCTTTCAAGTTCCATTGTTCTGGTAGTTCGGATCCTCCATGCTCATTTTTTTAATAAAACAAATGTACTGCATGTGATATTGTGATTTTAATAATAATTTATCCAGACCCCGGCAAAGTTGGGATTACACTGGGTTGTTATTGTTTTTTGCCTCTGCCTCACGGCATTGCAAACTTTCTTGCTTTGTCCATGACACTGTAGACCACATTAATTGATGCTTTAAATTTCATGCACTAACCCCGACTGGTTGGGATGGCGGTGTTGGTGATTATGAGTATGATGATCTTCTGGTGTTTCAGAAGCTGGAGATGATATTTTTGTCTTGGGGCTTGCTATTGACAAGGTTTCCCAACAGAAAGGACTCAAATTATTGCTCGGCAACAATGAAGAAAAAGAGGTTTCACCCTGCTGTGTTCTTCTATGCCTTGCTAGTGATGGGGGGCTTTCAGTTTTTCACTTTGCTAGGTACGTTATTCTTGTGTTTGCAATTTCATTATATTTCATGTGATGCATATCATATTTTTCTCATGATGTTGGGAGGATTTTTCTGCAGTGCTAGAAGTGAGTCAGTTACATCTCCAGTCATTGCATGCCCTGATGAAAATGATAATATTTCTACAGTTTTGCTATCAGAAGTTATGAAAAAAGATGTAGAAGATATAGGGTGGAAACCTAATGATCTAGATGTCAGTGAATCAGATAGAAAAGCTGCTGAGACTGTTCAAAAGTGCACTCAGCCATCCATGCTTTCCCTGGAGGGCTTTGAGACCAGAAACTTGGGAGCCAAACCACTTCCAAAGTTAGTGATTGAGGATAAGAATAAACTCTTTGGTCAGATTCCAAGTCAAGTTACATCGGCAAATACTTCTGCAGTGGCACTACCAGAAGCTGTACGGTCTCACATCATTTCTGAAGTTAAGGAGAAACATGTAGAAGACATGTCATTGAAATCGAATGATCTAAATGTAAGTGAGTCTGGTTTAAAAGCTGCTGGAGTTGCTCAAAGGAGTACCCAACAACATGATATTAGAAATATAAATCAGGAAGCCAATCCACTTCTCAACTTATCGAATGAGGAACACCTCAAATCCCCTCCTAGTAAGCTAAGTCAAGATAGGGATAAGCCGCAATCACCTCTGCGTGTAAAACAAGATAAAGATCTGGAAGATCCATCATTGGATGCATCTCATGCTGCAAACACAGAAAGTCCATGTGACAGTTTAAGTGTGAAATCAATGCATACATCAGCTGAAGCCAAGAATAGTATAGGTTCTGCTTCTGTGAAACCCTCAAATGATTACAGCCAATTAATTGGAAAAAGTACACAACGAGATTCTCTAGTTGCGGTGCAAGAGAGGACAGTATCAACTGGTTTTTCTAATGGTGCATCTTCTACTGGCAGCTTAAGAAATGACAAAAGTTCTCCCTTACAAACCTTTGGTAACACTCAACAGAAAGATGCATGTAATTCTGATAGAACTATGCTTCCTTTTCCTGGAGGTCATCTCCAAAGCGCTATACCATGGACTCAGACTAACTCAGCTTCAGTTGATTCCTCTAAGCAAAGAGTCATGCCTTGGGCTCAGAGCATTAAGTCATCATCTTCATTGGAGCAAAATGTATCATTGGAGAAGTCTTCAAAGCTTCAACCTGCAAGGGATTCATCAGAGAGGATCCGGTCCAAGCAGTTTCACAATGTATGTTACAATGTCCTTTGACCCCTAAAATTTCTTGTTGGCAATTTTCTATCCCTTTAACTCCATGGCGGCTACAAGCATAATTTCTATTCTAAACTATACAGGAAAACTAAGCTCTATTGTTTATATTCTTCCGGTTCTGTTCATTTGTGGTGATGTTGAATATTATTGGTTGGGAGTATGATTCCTGATAATATTAGCTTTTCAGTTCAAAATCTTGAATTGACAGCCTTATCACGCACTTTGTATAAAAATGTTTACCTACATAACCACTTGGTCTTAGTCTTGTTGCATGCCAGTACTTGAGATACTGGCCTATGCTATTTCAAAATTTAATGTCTTGCTTTCTATATTTTGAACTTATAAGGTGCATTTGTCAATATTATGCTTCTGACATAGTTTTGAGAGTTTTTTGCCTTTTGTACATATGGTTGATGCATGTGCGTACTTATACATGTGCACCATTCCTTAGGTTGAAGACATGACCAGAAAGTTGGACGGCCTTCTACAAGATATAAAAGGTGAAGGGGGTTTTATGGATGCATCCATTTCCAGTCAGGAGAGTTCAGTTGTAACTTTAGAAGAGGGCATACATGCTCTATCTTCGAAATGCAGAACATGGAGGGTAAGCATTTATGTTATGCTTTTCAGAAAATGAAGAAGAAAAGCTAAAAAATGTGTAGTTAGTTTTTTTAAGAAGAAAATGATATGAACGCTCTGCTTCAAACTCATGCCAATAGAGACACATCTATAGCTAGAAATATTCTTTTTTAGCCTTTTAGGTGCACCAGTTGAAGCAAAAATGAGATGAAATCTTCACCACAGTTATGAAAGGCGAGTGGGGACTATATATATGTGTGTGTGTGTGTATATATATATATATCCACCATAGATGACCATGGCGAATACCTTTCATAACTATGATCTTCACATAAACGGATTTCAATTTCATATGCTCACCATCTCTTAACATGGTGAGAACCTTACTGTCCTACAGTATGGTAGTATCCTCTAATAGGAATGCAACTATTTATCAGTGCAGTAGGTTCTGCCGTTACACTACCAAACATAAATACGGCTGTTTCTTGTTATATTGGTGGTTTAGTCTGTAGATGCAACTTCTAAAGGGTGAATGGTTGCTTCTAGATTTCTAGATTCTGTATTGATCATCTGAGACTTCATCATTCCTGTTAACAAAGTAGCTGGCTTACTAAGCCACTCCCCCGTAATTGTAAACCACCAGAAATTAGTGTTAAAGTTTGTACCAATTTTAGTTGCAAACGTTTGCATTTCTGAGACAATCTCCTTGGCAGTTCATGCTGTTAGACTTTCTGCCCCATTAAAACCATATACTGATGTGCCTTTGTTTACTTTGTTTTCCGGGAGCATGAGATATTGACATATCAAAATCAACTCCTCTAAGCCTGCTGGCAGGAAATGTGTGGATTACTATGCAAATAGATAATGACATACCAGTTCTTGTTTTGAATCTCAGATTTTTTTATTCTTCATCTTCAAACTGTAGGGAATAGTTAGTGAGCAAAACGAAGAGATTCATCTGCTCTTTGATAAGACAGTAAAAGGTACACCGTACACTCCGATAATGAATTCGTGTTATGTACAATATTTTATTGCTTTGGTTGGATAGGTTGTTCACAGTAAGAACAATGTTGGTGAGCCTTATTTGAGGAATAAGAATATTTGTGTACATTTTATTCTGTTGTTTCTTTTCTTTTCCTTCTTTTTTATTGGTGGGAGGGGGAGGCTCCTTCACTTTTTTTCTTTGGTGTCTTATTTTTATTTTCTTTTGGGAGGAGAGAGGGTTAATTTGTAAGTACCTTACCTGTGCTTCCTTGGTGTTAATCAAAAGAACTAAATTTATTCCAGACCAAAGGAGTGGGAATTAATAGGGTCTAAAATGCTCAAACAAAGAATTGAAAAAACAATATTCAAGTGACTCCAACTCTTCTCAATGAATATATAGTTGCTTTTCTTTAAAATTGCTTTTTATTCATAAAATTTCCAGTTTTAGCCAAGAAAGTGTACATGGAGGGCATTTTCAAGCAGGCCACTGATAGCAGATATTTGGATATGTGGAGTCGCCAGAAATTATGTCCTGAACTTGACTTAAAGCAAGTACATATAAAAGATATGCAGAAGGTAATGATGAGAGGGTTTTTAACAAGATTTTGAATCTCGCACTGAATAGATCTTTGTGGTATGTACCATCTTGGCCACTGGCAATATCTTGGTGTGTAGTGGCCCGTCTTGGACAATCTCGGCGAGATCGCTGTCCTAGTGTTAGTGCACTTTTTGTTTGGGATTTTTGTTGGGCTACACAGCCTACACTGCTACGGGAGTTGGCTTTTACAGGTTGTATTTAGTCGCTCTTATCTTAGTGTTGCCAACAATGAAGAAGGGAGTTTGTACTTTTTATTTTTAAAAAAGAATCTGAGAGAGAATAACCCTTTTTGTCTAAGGCACGATTAATCCAATATGAGTACATGATTTAATGTACCAGTTGAAATCTGGTGTGGGTCTTTGATATGTGATTAAAAACTTCACTTTTCCGGATGATATTCTTAAACCCCTCCCTTTAAGGTTTTTAAAACTTCTATTCTTTCATTTTTAGGTCCTAACAAATCAACTCATTGAATTGGAAAAACATTTCAACATTCTTGAGTTAAATACTTTTGGTAGACGTGAAGGAATCTCAATGAATCGGAGGTCCTCACAAAGCAATCATGAACAAGGAAGGTAAGATGATTTTAAGCTCCTAACTTCATTTTAAGCTCATGCTTTCTTTGGACTTTGTGATAGTAAAATGAAGGAAAAATAGGATAATAGTTTGACACTATTCTTTATTTGTTTGTGTAAATGTTTGTTTTGATCAAATGTTTGAAATATTTGGCCCTAGTCTGATAGTAGGCTGCTGTATAAGCCCTCCTTTTTTAAAGTTTTTATTTTATCATTTATGCTTCTTTATTTTCCCTAGCAATGAGTTTTTTTTGCAATTTTTCGGTAATGAAAACAACTCATATACTTCCTACAAGTTACACATGTGTGTGTTGTAAATTTATTATTTTGGATATTGATTTTCATTCGAAATTCAAAATTTTGAAAATCTACAATCTCAGTAGTATTCCAATGCCAAACCTTTTGTTCTCCATTTCCAAAGAATTGAAAAAACCAAAGTTTGAACAAAAAGAGAATGTTCCAAACTTCCAATCTCCCCCTGCACATTGTATAGCTAGCCAACCAGAAATCACCAACTTGGGGCTTCCTTTGATCCAAACGTATACAGCCCATGCAATACTCAGAACTAGATATCTCCATTGAAGGGATTGGTGTCCAGTCGAAGGAAATGAGACGATGATTATGGAAGGTGGTTGCTGACTTGGTGGGGGTGTCCATGAAAATTGGTTATATTTTGGTGGTGATGGACTGGGGGCGGTTCCTTGGGAGACAGAAATGGTTGGATGTGTAAGGGTTTCTGCTTTGATATTGAGTGAAGAAGTGGGGATAGAGAAATAATTAAGGGGAGAAGAGATGGGTGAGTTGAGGTATACAAAATGGCATGGTATTGCTTATTTAAATACTCATATGCTAGTCATTCGAAATTATGGGCAAAAAAATGGAATTGAGTGCAACCCCAAATTTAAAATCTTGGTGCAATCAAACAATGGATTTATTGCAAATCCAAAATTGTTAATTCAATCAGCATATCCAAACACTGAAATTAGAAATTGAATAAAATTTCTGTGTTCTTAGTCATGGAAATAATTTGTATAATTCCAGGCACCCAGCCAGCCAGTTGGGCCAACATGGAAACAATCAATGTGCTTGATTGCTGTGTCTCCAAGCATATGTTGACATATGCTCCTTAGAACATAAGTTTTAACATCTGCTCCTTATATGTTGAACTAAATGGATGCTTCAAGACAAATAATAGATAAAGATGTCTTAACTTTTAACATGAGAACATGATTGTATTTGGCATTACAGGCACACCCACTCCTTGCATAGCTTACGTGGAACGGTGAATGCGCAACTAGCAGCAGCAGAACAGCTCTCTGGAAATCTCTCAAAGCTGATGACTGATTTGAACATAAAGTCTACTGCATGCAGGCATAATGTGAGAAAGGAAATGTTTGAAACAATTGGACTGTCCTATGAAGACAGCACTAATAGCACCCCTGGTAAGGAAATGATTTTGAGTACGCCATTAAACAGGGAAAGGTCTGTTTCTTTTACTGCCAATGAGCAGTCCTGGAGAAAGCAAACAAATGCTACAAAAAGTTCTGAACCAGAAACAGCAAGGAGGCGCCGTGATTCTTTGGATCGGGTAACATCGTCTAATCCATCTTCATTTAACTTAAATGCAAAAGGCTGAAGAGTATCTAACCTCTATACCTCTACTTAACTCCCCACCCCACCCCACCCCACCCTCACACACACAAATACAGGAAAAAGAAAAAATAGAGTATATTTAAAACATAATACATTACATGTAATCTATAAATAATTTATTTTGCATTCAAATTTGATGGACATTGTTGGAAATAACATCAATGATATTACTCTCTCTGTCCCAATATACACCACACTATTTCCATTTTTACTGCCTCACAACTAATTTCACTTGGCCAATCTCATCCACACAATCAGAGTATTTTATACAGTGACTACAATTCTGATGGGCATCTCAATATTGTAAGGATAATGATTCTAAAAAGATACATGCAAATGCAATTTTTCAGATGAACCAAAATTTAAGCAAATGCATCCATGTGTGTATACAACATACCAAATGATTCTTTCCATAGAGATAAATAGATAGGCAATTATTGATAAAGAGTTTTCATACTTGTTGGAGTATAAGTAAATTCGAATGCCAAACGATGTGATATGATGTGTGTGTTGTCTCTTCTTTATTGAACTGAGTTGTACTTCAAGTATTTTAACAATATAAAAGGTGAAAGTAAAGTGTTTATAACATGTTTAACATAATATTTAATAAGCTAAAACCCCACCCCTCCCCCCCCCCCTCCCAAAAATGATCCCTTGACCTGAGTTATTAACCTCAGGTTTTTGAAGACCTGTCCTTACAGGGTATTGTAGTTTAGCCACCTTGTTAACATGGCTCAAACTTAAACAGTTTACTTTAATACTTTATTTGAACTGTTTTTCCTCCTGAACAAGGCTATGATCGCGTTTCAATGACAGCAGGACACTGCTGACTAGCTCCTATTAATTGATAGTTGATACCTAAAGACATTTTTTGTGAATTCAAGATGCTTTATATATTGAGGAAACAAATCACTTTATTCTCTTCATGTGAGGGCCTGTGCTTGTCGGCTATAATATTTACAGTGCCTTTCTTGTGATTGTCACTTCATAGTGAATGGATGAGCTTGTCCTGTTTCACAATAGACTAGTATAATATTGTTCTATATAGTGTCTTTCTTTTGATCTCCGATTCTTTGCAACCAATTTCTGCATTTGTGTGAGTCAACTGCTCTGCATGCAGAACTGGGCTTGTTTTGAGCCCCCAAAGACGACTGTGAAAAGAATTCTCCTGCAAGAAGATTACAAGAAGGCAAGTGCTACGAGATCATCTTTGTCTGCTTATAAACAGCGATCTGATTCTAAGTCGCATGAAAGATCAACTATAGCTGCGTCAAACGTCTCTGGAGCCTCAAGCACTTCTCAACAAAAATTCAAAACCACCGGTTAGTCCCTCCCCTATTAAGAATCTTGTCTTTGTTCTCTCAATTGTGTAGGACTGTAGGCTACTTTGGAACATGTGAAATGGTTGGGGCGAAGATTCATAGGAGTTTTTTGATCTTTGGTTTTACCTTGTAAAATACAACTGAAATTGGATTTAATTTAAAATAAATAAATAAAACTCTGCATATGATTATGTTACACATTATAGTATGATAGAAGTGAAAATTGCACTAAATAGTACTAAAACATATGTCCTTTCCCAATGGAGTACTTAAACTTTTTTATTCCATAAATGGTACTTGAATAATGTCTAGCGGCAGGAACAATGTCCAATGATGGTGGACATTAAGTTTGAACAATGTCCAGCGGCGGTGGACATTTACTTTAACAATGACCAGTGGATTTTGAACAATGGTACCACATTGGGAAATAAAACATATGGTACTACATTGGGAAAGTCACTATGTTTTAGTACTATTTAAGTAAATTCTCCATGATAGAAATATACTCTCTGTCCCAATTTAAGTTGTATGTTCACTATTCACATGGTCAAACCTAAACGATTTCGTTTGCCGATTATTGTTACTCATTTGATAAAATAAGAGTGATGTCAGCTCTTGATTTCTAGAACTTTTGAGCTTTAAAATATACAGAGTATAATTTTTATTGTTTAATTTCACCCCAATTTTTAATTAAATTGAATAAAAAATAATTTCAATCAAATATCGTAAAGAGCATGCCATTAAAATTGGGATGGTCGGAGTATGTATGTATGTGTGTGTATATATACATACATACATATATATATATATATATATATATATATATATATATATATATATATATATAAGCATTGACTCCAGTGAGATGACACCTTACGGCGAGATGACATGCTACGGTCAGATGACGCAAAGCTCACCACTGTCCACTGCAAAGCTCACCAAGGACAACTACAAAGTTTACCAAACTGTAAGGCAAAACTCACCATATTTTTTCAATACTTTGAATTTTTTTTGAAAAAAAATAATCAAAGAAATGGGTGCTGACTAGACTTTGACCGTTGACCGAGACCTTTGACCGCTGCCTGCTGCCGCCGGTCGCCGGAATCCGCCGCCGCTGGTCTCCGGAATCAGTCGCCTGCCGCCGCCGGTCGCCGGAATCTGCTGCTGCTCCGCCGCCGGTCGCCGGAATCTTCCGCCAGTCGCCGGAATCCGCCACCGATCGCTGGCAACCTCCGCCTGCCGCCGCCGTTGACCGGTGTCGCTATTTTATTTTTTTATTAATTTTTAATTTTCAAAATTTAAAAAAAAGGTGATTTTTGGTGTTCAAAGTGGTGAGCTTTACTCTATTTTTAGATGAGCTTTGCATTGTCCATTGGTGAGCTTTGTAGTGTAGTGTGGTGAGCTTTGCGTCATCTCACCGAAGCATGTCATCTCACCATAAGGTGTCATCTCACTGGAGTCAATCCCATATATATATATATATATATATATATGGACAGGTATCTATAATTGATTTATTATGTTTGAAGCCCTTTTTTTCAGATTTCCTTTCATTCCAAATTCCAAGCTTTCCCTCTATTTTGCTTCATATTATCTTTCGTTGACCTTTTCCAGGTTTGGATTCTGCCTAGTAGTATTAACTTTTGAGTAATGACTTTACTTGATGTAATCCATGATTTTCAGAAATCTCAGAAGAAATATGCAGTAGAAGTTCTGCTCGCTCTCTTTGGTCTGATGACTCTGGAAAGTCAGCAGAGAAACTTCCATCAGCAATAAATTTCTCAATGCCGCCTTCGCTGGATGAAACCAAGTCCACCTTTTCTGGTCAAAATATTCGGGAAGGTGTGACATTAACCAATGAGAATGCAACCAGCGCCACTTGCTTTACCGGGAATTCAACACCAGGTCAATCAAAACTCATTCAGCAGCCTGAAACCAAACTGCAAAAGGCTTCCATAGACAGTCAGAATTCCAATCTAACAATCAGAGGTGAGAAGGATGCACCGATATCAAGGGGAGGCTTGCAAACTGAATCAAAGACTAGTTCTGAATTTTCTTTTTCTGCTGCAACTAGTGCTGATTCTGCCTCTAGCTTCTCTGGGAAGTTGACGAACAGAGAAATTGTGGAAAACAAAAGGCAAACTACTGAAATTGTGGTGGCTACTTCAGGCAAATCTTTGAGTTTTCCTACTAACCCCATTTTTCCATTAACACCCAATTTGCCACCATCAGCATCTCCTTCATTGCAAGATTTGCTTCATTCCCCTTCACCTTCTAAAACCAGTTTACCGTCAATATCAGATAAATTTCCATCAGGTGAACTAGCATCAGATAATTTATTATCTATTCCTAAAGCCATTTCCTATACGACCCAATCGTCCTCAGTGTCTCAGTCACCATCCGTTGCTTCCCAAAAAAGTTCTTTTAATTTTCCAATTACTCAGGAAGTGGGGCCATCACTCGTTACTCCTGACAGTAAAAGACATGATCCAAAATCATTATCTCAACTCCCTACCACCGATGCCGCTTCAAGAGATACAATTTCTCGACCTCAACAGTCTCTTCCAAATGTTGCATCCAACTCACAAGCTGGATTATTGGCCCAATCAAAATCAACAAATGAACATCCATCAAAAACACAATCTGAAAGTCCGCCGATCACATCTAGCTTCTCTAGTCTTGCCTTTGGTGTGGGATTAAATGAGAAAGAAAAAGAGTCAACTTCTCAGAGTGTCAGTGGGGGAAAAACTGAAAATACTGCTGGTGCAGTTTTTGAGGAGGATGAGATGGAAGAGGAAGCTCCGGAGATGAATCAAGTAACTGAGCAGACATTAGGCAACTTGGCCGGGTTTGGATTTGGAGTTCCCACTAATGTGTCTAATGCAAAACCAAATCCATTCGGCACTCCATTGCCCAATAACACCCCCAGTCAAACAAGCACTACCTTCACCATGGCTGCCCCCCCTGATGGTGAGCTATTTAGACCAGCGTCTTTTAGTTTCCCATCACTACAGCCATCACAGCCTCCAACAAGCTTTAATAGCTTGCCCGGTGGATTTGCACCAGGTAATGCAAGTCAAACTCCTGGGAGTGGGTTTGGCAAACCATCTCAGATTGGACCTGGAAATAGTGCTTTAGGATCTGTTCTGGGTTCTTTTGGACAGTCAAGACAGCTTGGTACTGGACTACCCGGAAGTGCTTCACCACCCGCCGGTGGTTCTGTAGCTGGTTTTCCAACCAATAATAATACTGCTGGCGGTTTTAGTAGTGGGGCCCTTGCCGTGGGTGGTGGATTTTCTAAACTGGCGTCAGCTGGTGGTGGTTTTGCTGCAGCCGCCACCGGAGGTGGTGGATTTGCAGCAGCTGCAACTGCAAGTGGGTTTGGTGCTCCTGCAGCTGGCACAGGTATGTAGTGGTTCCTCTGTCTATGTCTTGTTTTATTGGTGATGATTTGTTATTATCTTAATTTGAAAACCCATGCTCTCCTGAAGCTGATTGTCCGTAATCTTTCGTTGTGAAATACGGGATGATAAAGTGTTCGAGAAAATCTCTTTCATTTGACTTTCACGGAATTTAAGAAAAATGTTGAAAAATAAAAAAATTATGGCCGGAATTTATTTTGAGGGAAGAGTTGAGCCACTCATTTATTTCTTTAAAAAAAATTTGAAGTTTTTTTGGATGGAGGAAAAAAAAGTGAATTTTTCCGTTTTCTACTCCTTCCATCTCAAAATGAACTTGTCATTCTTTTTTGGATGTCAGAAAACGAAGTTTATACTTCCTCACTTTCTCGTTAAGGAAAAGTGTTGTATGATGTACAGGTCAAATCAGATCTAGTTTCTTTACCTACCATTGTCAATCATTTGTTAAAATAATCTAGTCAAGTCATCTCATGTTTTTTAGAATTTTTTAGATAATTTTTTCATTTAAATTTTATACTAATATTTTAAAAAAATTGAATTAAAAATAACTCCAGTCAAACATAGTTAACCGCTGTGAGACAGCGAGGGGAGAACATGGTTAAAAAAGTCTCTCCTCAAAAACAAAATTTCAAACACTTTTCTTTTAACTTGTAAACTCACACCTTATAAACCTCATTTGCTGATGACAAATGCTGGCAGGTGTTGCTGGGTTTGGTGGTTTTAGCAACCAACAACAACAACCAGGCGGTGGCGGCTTTTCGGCGTTTGGCAATCCAGCTGCCGCCAGACCATCGTCTCAACTCTTCACCCAGATGAGAAAATAATACACAAAGCGCGGAGGAGCAACGGAGGCCCTCCTAAATTTAGGATGCAGGTTTGGCTTATCGAATGAATGTTTTGTCGTCGTCTCTGTTATGTTCGTTTTGAATCGGGGCTTCATATTTCCTATATATGTTCGTCCCAAAATTAACTTCTTTTGCTCGGTGTTTGTAAACTTTGACTTTAATTAGCATATAGTCCTAATGTTTTAATTATTTGTGTATTAAGGACAAATTACTTTTACTAAGGTAGTGTTTGATCCGGGAAAAATATTTTCCCAAAAAGAAGATTGTGAGCCACATAAAATTTTCCAAAACGAAAAAAAAAAGAACAGAGGATATATAGATTGACTGAGTGAGTTTGTTCATCTTTCAATGTAGTTTCACTATTTTGATTGTGATGCCAATATGGAGTCTGCGAATTGGACTGTAGTTCATAGGGCAATAATGGCAAATTGGAACCATAGTTTTTTTTGTTATCTGTAAAATAAAAAAAGTGAAGACAATATTTTTTCTACTTTGGAAAATTTTATGTGGTTCACAATCTTTTTTCTTCTCTACATCACTTTAAGTATATAATGTTTTTTAAGTTTGTGTCCGACTAAATGAGGAGTTTTTCTTAGATGGAGGAAGTTTATAATATTTAAAAGAGTAAATTACTAAAATAGTGAGTATTCAATAACTATGTATTTTTTCAAATTAGTCCCCAAGATTAATTAATTACCGGGATAGTTCGCGTTAGTTAAGAAAAATGCTTAGTTTAGTTCCTCGACCAATGGCCGTCAAAATTTATGTTCCGTACTAATTTTTTAAAATGATTCTTTCGAATTGTGTAGTTAGTCAAATTGTTCCATTTTTGAAATAAAAACTCATTAATTATAGAAAAAATTAAATCTTGTAGATGGAGAATATATAAATGAAAGTAACGTTTCAGTTATTTATAATTGTTTAAAAGAATACCATGTAAATAACCTAATCAATACTCTCGTCTCAAATTAAAACTCATGTTAATAGAAAACTTAAGACCAATTTTTTTGTTACATTTCATTGAAAATAGTTTTGGTCAAATATCATAAATCGAAAGATTTAAAGTAAAAGTCTTGTCTCGGAATGGATGAAATCATTTATTAAATATTTATTTTACATGATATTTTCTAAATAATTTTACACAATCTAAAATGTTTGCGTTCAACATTTTTAAATCATATTTATAGTTTTATTCATTATATTTTCATCCTATAATATTTAAATTATTTTTTTTCATATGTAATGGCTTTTTATTTAAAAAATAGACCAATCTTGAGAAAACACACAATTAATGTAAGTTTAACATCGTTTTTAACATTACGAAAACCGTTAGTCAGAGGACTAAACTGGGCATTTTTCTCTATTAACGAGTACTATTTGGGTAATTAATTCATCTTGGGGAATAATTTAGAAAAACACATAATTATAATTATTGAGTACCATTTTTGAAATTTACTCTATTAAAAATCTGAAATTTATAACACCTGTTTCGGTTTATGATGTTTGATTGAAATTATTTTCAAACCATTTAAATATGAAAAATGGTATAGAATTAAAAAATAAAAATTACATATTAAAAGCTATATCAAAAGATCTACAAAACTAGTAGTGACAATAATATTTTATTTTATCAAATTGCTAACGAAAATAGAGAAAGAAAGTGAATAAAGTTTGACCCTGTGAATAGTAAACATGCATTATAATTTAGGACGGAGAGAGTATAATTCTCATATATTGTGGGTTTCAAGCTCACTAATTATTTGTTCTAACGATTGATTTAATAGAAAAAATGTTGGAAATCAAGTTAGACAGATTTTCAGTTGATTCGACCTCTTTGAATTTTGGCATCTTTTAAAAATCGCTTGCCATTTATTTAAATTGAAATAATTTAAGATAATGTTTGGCAACTAGCATTTCATTTCAATTCATGTATTTCAATTCCAAAATTTGAAATCCTGAATTTCAAATGACAAGGAGATGTGCATGGATTTCAAATTAAGCTTTCTTATGAATGAAAAGAATTTGACTCAAATACAAATTCAAAATGTTTAAGCTTCCAAAACATAGAATTTGAGTTTAATCCGGATTTGAAACCCAAATTCATTTTTCCAAATATACCATAAAAAATTTACAATGTGAACTTCAATGGTCTGAATTTAAGTATAACAAACAAAGAACCACGAACATAACATTCAATAATAAATAAATAAAAATGAAAAAAATTTCAATTTTAAAGGATCTATTAGAAAATTTCCTTTACATATAAAGTGGACTAGGTGTACTAGTTCTTATTCAGTATCTATATTTAATACTCCCTCTTCTCACAAAAAAAAACACACAATAAAATCTACACGATTAAATAAAGTAAAATTGGGTGATTGGTAGTGCAAAAAGTAAATAAAAAAATAGTATGACCCAAAAAATGTTTTCTATACATTGAAACTAGAACCTTTTTTTAGGACAAACGGAAAAAATAATGTAGAATCTTTTTATGGGACATAAGTAATATAACTATCAATAAGAATTCAAAATAAGATTGAAATAAAAACATAAATAAGATTCAAATAAAAACAAGAAAAATAGAATTTAGTAGTCTTTGCTAGTCACAAACACACACCAGTGGTATGAAAGTATGGCCTAAAAGAGAGAAAACTTGCCAAGGCCATCATGTAATAAACTGCCAATTGCCAAAGCACTAACCCACCAATCATTTTTTTATTATTTTTAAACTCAAAGCCTTGAACTCATATTTTGGATAAATATAAAACATTCCATAGGTCACACTCTTAGACCAGCCCGGACACGGCAACCACCGTGCAACCCATTAAGAGCCTTCTCGGACGCAATTAGGTAATTGAATCAAAGTACGAGTGGTGAAACGACAATATTCCGTAGTGTAACAATGCCATCATCTCAAGGGCAAGTATATATAGAGGCTCGAATATATAAAGCATCCGAGATGAGCGTTCTATGAAATCAAAACTCAACACAAGCTTTACTCGGGGTCTCAACCTGCAAAATTTGATGATAAAATGAGAGAGCAGAATGGGTTGTGCTTGGTGAAAGGAGATAGCAGCTCATAGAATATAACATAACAGAGTAGATTCCACAAATGGTCCTCCATGTTTGAGAATATTTCATATTTAGCCCACTACTTTATGAATTTCCATTGGAGGTCCAGTTTAACTGTGAGCATTGCCAATTTTAGTCATCTTTCCACCAAAAATCCTCAAAATGGTACAATGGTAAAGGACTAAATGTAGCAATGTTCCAAGTTTTCAAGGACCTCACTTGGTATTTAATGACATAGAGGACTGGAACTGAGTGTTGACGATTAATATTGAGCTCTGATATAATTCCACATAGTAGTGGACTAAATGATAAATATCAATAACTATAAAGGACCATTTACAGAATTTCCACTGTGGATGAACTTGGACACCATTCGAGGTACAAAAATATAATGATTTCCTAAGGTAAACTATTACTTCCTCCGTTCATATATAAACATCACAAGTTGTTTTTCACGGTCACCAATGCTAAATCTTTGACCATCATTATTTTTTATACTACTTCCGTCCCTGAGTATTTGTCCAGTTTTGATTTTTTTCGGTCAACCGGTTTTCAACCTTTTACCTATAATTAAATAAAATATATATTTTTTATTAATTAGATGAAATAATATTTGAAAATATTTTATATAATAAATCTAATAAAACTATTTTTGTATTAATATCTAATATCGTTTTTATGTAATTTGAAGTCAAAGTTTACCAATTTTGACTGAAAACATTCAAAAGTGGACGAATACTCAGGGACGGAGGGAGTATATACTATGAAAAGTTATAATAAAATAAGATTTTGAAAACACAACTGACACAAAATGGTTAATAGTACTTCGATATTATAGATAATCTAGTTTATGAAAACCCAAAGGTAATAGTAAAAAAGTTTATGAAGTTTTGTTTAGGGACGAAGAGAATATAAGTCACGGAGTAACTTGAAAATATCCATTCCCCTTTCATGACAGCACAAAATATAACTTTTCCTTGCAATTGGGTTGCACCATCATTATTTAATATGGCAAATTTTTTGAACTCCAACCAAAGAATAGTACCATTATCGTGTTTAAATAGCCTATGTTAAGACATAATGAGGAAAAAGTTCAAACACAATATGTATATTCCTCTTCTTATATTAGCTTATTCAAAACCTGATTTTACCATAATATTTCCCGTGAATATAGTCCACCGACATCCTCTACCCATGTAATTTCGGCAAAAACACAATTTGGAGTGAGCTTATCAAGGGAATTAACAAAAAATACAAATGTGGAAGCTTAAAAAAAAGTATGCGAACGAGAGAAAATTCGACTCCTGCTTAATATGGAGTATATGCCAATGCATGTTATCTTGTGGGGAAATGATTGCTCTTACCTCTGAAATATATAGAGTGGAAAGACTAGACAGTATTTACAGTGTCAGCCAGACACCTTAGTATACATCCCAGACCAGCTTTCTCGGTCAACTTTTCGTGAATCCTTAGGCATTGATCACAGGTGGGGCGGTCTCCAGTAGACAAGCCTCGGTAAAGATACCTGCAAAATGACTCAACATGCCAATGATGACATATACAGGTAGTATGACACATTTGTCAAATTTTGTTAGTTTTGATGAAAAATAGTGTATTTCAATGCACCCAGGAAGGAATTTTGTTTGGAGATGGGAGGCACTAGTTGCTAACTAGTGATTCTTTCATTAATTACTGCTCCCTCCGTCCCAACTTAAGTTGCCAGGGTCAAACTTTAACCACGTTCTTTACCCATTTGAGAAAATAATATAATCTTGTTATCTCTTGTCTAACTGCTCAAACCAACCCGGTGGCACTCCTCCACATTCTGCCCCCACCTTCAACACCATCCAACAGAAGAAGGGCTGGTGTCAAGCCACAATATCACATTCTTATACCAGGTGTAATCCAACATGAACATTGTTTTTGCACTTAAACGATATCATTCAACGAATCTACGGAGTATATAGAGAATAAAATAAACGATAGAGAATACATACTTCATCAAAATATCGTAGTACTCGGGATCTAGGGAAGAGAACAAGCTGTCCAGATCCTTTATAGCCATTATTGCCCTATGGACTACAATCCAATTTGCAGACTACATATTGGCATCACAGAAAAATAGTAAAAATACAATGAAAGATGAACAGACTCAACCAGTCAATCTATATATCTTGTTTCCTTTTTTTCTTTTTTTTAGTGTTGGACAGAGTGAGAAAAAAATAAGTAAGAAAAGATTGAACCTTGCATCTTTCATCTTTAGTCACAGGAGGAGACCCTTCAAGAGCAGTTTTCAGAGCTTCAACAGGTTTAAACCTAACAAAAAAAAACGTATTCATTGAAGAAAATCAGACCATTTTTCTGTGTAGGCACCGGTTAAAAAAGAAAAATTCTCAGATTTAGGGCTACAATTGAAATTTACTGCTTCAGTAAACTTTCGATCTTCCTGGACTTGTGCTCAATTCTTGTGATTATAGCTTCTGCATTGTCAGCCCCGACGAATTCCGCCATTCACATCCACTCCAGCCAGGTCGGCGGTCGGAATCAAACGAAAATGTCTATACAAATGAACTGTGACTAAGCCGGTCAAAACTGACCCGAACCCTATAACCCGAATCAAATAATCCGGAACCGAACCCGATTTGACCCGAAAACTGAAGAATCGAAATAGAATCGAACACCCGAAATGATCCGAACTGTACCGAGCCTGAACCGAATGTATTCAGACTCGATTCAGATCCGAATCTGATTTAACCCGAACCGATAAAACCCGAACCCGGTTAAACCCGGAACCGATTAGACCCGAAATTGATTAAATTTTATGTACATCTGTGTTAAATAATAAAATAACTACGGAATATATCATAAATTGATTAAATTTATTATGTGATATTAATGATTTATTAGTAAATATTTAAAATATATACGAACTAATATAAACCTAAATCGATGCAAACCCGAATCGATATAAACTCGAACTGATACAAACCCGAACCGGTATATGTTAGAATAAGTGCCCTTCACTAGAGGGGGGGTGAATAGTGAGACACGAGAATGTTTATAAATTTTCGCGGAATAAAAATCGCAGGGATAAAGTAAAGAGCGGAATAAAAAGGAGTAAAAGGAGCACACCAAGATTTACCCTGGTTCACCACAACTTGTGGCTAATCCAGCCTCCCGAGAGACTCTCTCGAGCTACACTACTTCCGTTAAGCTTACGGGTGCTTAACAAACCGTTACAACCTGAGAACTCGAGTCCCACGAGCCTCAATACACTTGCTCGGAGATACCGCACTCCAAGACTTCAACCCGAAGGAAAATACCTTTCCTTCGTACAACCAAGGGAAACAAGCTTCCCT